GCTATTTTTTTTTACATTTTGTTGTATTGCATCAAAATGTGCTTTTGTATGAGGTGAATTTTTATTTGGGAGTTCTATAATCATTTTTACTTTCGTCCATCCTGAAATTAATGCAAACATGTATGTAACATATACTTTGCTGATGCAAATGATTCTATTTTTATTTATTTGGCTACCTGTACAAGATATGTTGATTTTATATCAAGTGTCTTTGCGCATACAACATGCAAAAAGTTTTGAAATAAATTTATTAAAGTCTAGAAAAAAATAAAATAATTTTAAACCGGTCTATTCAAATTCTCTACACTCCATGGGTCAATTTTGTAAACTTTAAAACGGGCAAATACAAAACCTACAGCGTCTGACACAACATTTCAAAACTTTCAAATTTTTGTTTCTAATAACTTAACTTAGGTAAGTTGAACCAAAGTTCAAAATTAACATTACTGTAACTTTACCAAACCAAATTCACAATTTAATTTTCAAACTTAAATTCTTCAAAATTTGGCGTGGAAATAAAATGCTTTTAAAACACAACAGTTTAATTCACTCCAGGCAATGTTTAAAACACTTGGTGCAGTGGCAAACTGTTTAAAATTTATTTGAGGTACATGTTGGCCTTCTGACGGGGACCTTGTTGCGGCTCAACTACTACGAAACAATTGCACTGAGTGGAGTACTAGCCACACACACAAAAGGATTATTCATTAAAATAAATAAATAAATTATATTTTTTTTGTTTTCTAAATAAGAGTAAAATATTTAACTTTTGAAATAATGCTAAAAATTTTTAGTTGGTTTGTTATTTTAGAGTTATATTTTTAACCATTTAAATAAAAATCGGCAGGAAAAGTATTTTTATCATTTCTTTTTTTTCCATGGATGAAAAAATACTAGTGCGTTTTTTCCAAGAAGCTGAACGCATTAAGATAAATTTTGAGATGAGCATTTATATTTTGAAGATTTCATTCTCGGGTTCTGCTTGGTCATATTAATATCACTCGCATGGTTCGTTGCCGGCTCCAACTTACTTCACGTTTCGTACTGTTGGTAGTTTTGCATTTGAATAATCTACCACTACCAATATTACTATTACTATGGTAATTATTGATTTATTAATTATTATTATTATTATTATTATTTGTTTCTCAAATTGTTTTTATTACTGCTATTAAAATGTGAAATTTTGTTTATAAATAATATCGCAGTCTTAAGTTTAAAACAGATCAACTACTTTTGCTAACTTGATTTAAAAAACATTCAAGCGAAAATCTCAAATATAAAATACGAATGGGAACATGCATATGGAAAACTAATAATTTGTGTGGAGAGACAGACAGAAAAGAGAAACAGATGGACATAACAGTAAATAGGACAGGACACATATGCTCTACATAGGAATGTGTTCGTTCTGCTCACATTAACGTAAATTTGCGAGACACGGTGCGACGATGATGACGTCATTTTAGCTTTTAAACGTCCATTTAAATACCGAAATGTAAATTGTTGTCACTGTCCTCGTTCGTACTGATGGCATTTTAAAGTGGTTACCATTACCATGTACACCATCTT